GGTTAGGGATGTAAGGTTTAGGGTTTCGGATTTAGGGTTCGGGATTTAAGGGTTCTGGCCTCCCAGGTTTGTTGGGGCTTCGGGTTCGAAGGCTCCTACTGTTGATGGTATAAACCCCTAGCATTACCTTAGGGATCCTAAACATATGGGAATTATGGTAGATTCCTTATAGTGGGGTAATGCAGGATTTGCATCATCAACCGTCGGATTCGCTTCTTCGCCTGAGTCTCTGGTGATGGGTTTTGGCGTGGTGATGCTGTGATGCTGCCTCGGTGTGTTTGGGAGTTTTGTGACGTAGAGCTTCGCAGATTTCTCTGTAGAATGTACCGAGCAGCTTTCATGCAGCGGGAGTGCACCTGAAAACTCGTGCGCCCGCAGAAGTCACGCGTGCGAAAGCAGCAGGCTGAAGAGAGCGTAGCATTGGCCTAAGCCCTATACCCTAAACCCTATACCCTATACCCTACACCCGGGATATCGGTTCCAGTCCTTGTCCTTAGAGGACTCAGGGGCACCATGATATTCTATCATGAGGTGTTGATGTTGCGGCAAACTGTGACAGGCAAGACCCATATGCCGCATAGGGCCTTTCGAACGGCTCCAAGGAGTAAACCCTAAACCCTAAACCCTACAAACCCTAAATAAAGCCCTAAACCCTAAAACGCTAAACCCTAAACCCTAAAACCCTGGGCACCTCTTCGTAGTAGAACTCTGAGCAGGTTCTTATTTGAAGAAACCGCCCCTCTGCTGCCCTGCACAAGGCCCCGCTGGAATCCCCTCGTCCACCTCTGGCTGACAAGGCTGCAACCTCGTGTTTAGGACTTTGGAGCTCTATAGGGTCTACGGGGTGTTAGGGGTGATAGAGGGGGCGATGCTGCCGTTTATCCGGTGTTGGGGGAAGCTTGGCACTGGATTTCGACAGTTCTCTCATCCACTCCGCAGTCCCTTGGGACATGAGCTCCGCAAGGCAAGCCGAGTCCTCAGCTTGCAATAAACACCACGGCAGAAGCTGAAGAAGCCAACCTTCTTTGAAAGGTCCCCGGAGAGGACTTGTGCTTGAAGTCATCCTCAAGTAGGTTCAACCACGAACCGCCATCAATCCCCACACCTCGCATCATGACGTAGCGCGGTAGAGGCCCCTAACGACAAGCATCATGTCGTCGCTGTGCAGTTCTCGTGATCATTGTAGTGGTCGTCGGTTGCGGTAGCGGAGGTGATGCTGTCAATATCAACACAATCAAAGGAAGCTTCCATCCTACGACCCTTCGTTGAGGACTCAAGGCGAATCCAAAACGCCTTGCGGCTTTTGAGCACCCATAAAACCCCCAAACACTTAAGCATAAACCCTCTAATGTCTAAAATGCTCAAAAGCCCCCAAAGGCGGCTGCTGAGGGCAGCAAGCGCAGCAAGGCACGGCTTTCCCGGTTCGGGTCTTTGGCAGCCAAAGGGGCTTCTTTTCCGAATTTTAGCGAAGGCGTTTTCTGTTGCCCTCACTTCCCGTTTGACTTGGAAGCAACACTGTCGAACACAATCTGTCGTTTTGCTTTGTGTGAATCTACACTAGAGGTCAACCATGGAAGCAGAGCGGTAGCACAGCAATCTTGAAGCTGAGTTGGACTTGAGAGCCTACGTAGGGTTTGCGGCCCTTCCACCCACCCTAAACCCCTAAATCCCTAAACCCTAAACCCCTTAAACCCCTAAACCCTAAACCGTGTCACGCCTCTGCAGCGCCACGTGGTCTTCGCCTCCCTGGAGCACAACGTTCCGGAGCTCAACATCCGAGGCTTCACAGGCGCTGCTACGCATGGCTTTTCTGTGTCGATCACCGGCTTCGGCGTTTGGGGGGCCCTAAACCCTAAACCCTAAGCCCTAAACCCCTAAACGCTGTAAACCCTGAACCCTGAACGCTGAACCCTGAACCCTAAACCCTAAACCGGGGGGGGGGGGAGGGACTGATGGTGACTGCGTTCACAGCAAGACTCCGGGCTCCCAGAGACTCCAATATCCCTCAATTAAGGAGTATACCTTAAATTTTAATGGGAACCTTAATAGGATTTAAAGAACATTCCGTAATTAAGGGATATTGGAGTCTCTGGGGAAGTCTCTCCGCTTCAGCTGCGCCGGGTTGCGAGTTGCATGGAGATCGTAGACCCCGGGACCCAGAACCGCATGGACCAAACCTGCTCCGTCGCTTCGGATCTAAATATGAACTCCATCATCACCTCATCCCGGATCCCAAACCGGAAACCCGAAGAGAAGCATCCCGGAGGTGATGCTGGCATCTTCTTGGAGGATCTGGCGAAGGAGAAGTCGTGGCTGGCATCGAGATCCTGAAACTTCCACCTGAAGCCCTCAGTATGGAAGCCTGAATAACGGCTAAGACGACTACATAATATCTGCGGTAGACTCCAAACTCCATTATGCTCAGAAAGAAACTCCATGTCTACTCTCTTTGGATCTCTGCACTTGTTTTCAACATTCCTTCCAGCTGCAGGACGGTGATTGCAACGCTTCTCTACCGGGTCAGTACGCAAGACATTCATTCGAGCAGCCGGGAGCCAGGCACAAGCAGACACATGCGAGAGCAGTTTGAGAATCAACGTGAGAACAAAAGATTGCTGGAACGAGGGGCACACAAGCGTAAAGGACCCATCTAGCTGTTCGTCCCTCAGCCGAAAATCAAACAACCTTTGCAGGAGTCGGCACCCCAACCCCGAAAGCCCCCAGGCAACACATGCACACTCCAAGCTGCAGACTCTCGGAAGGAGCATCCTCGTGGTACCATCAGCTTCATCCATCCGATGCTTGGTGGCTGCGACTACGGCGAGCTGGCCACTGGAACTCAATGTGTGGAGATTCTCCAAAAGGGGATGGTGTCGGCCTCCCTAGGATCCTCAAGAGTTCTTACTTGGAGCTTCATGGGTAGTTATACGTGGGGTTGTAAGTAGGGTAACTCTAGTTATAACCCATATTAGGGGCCTTATAAGCTTATAACTACCCATGAACCTCCAAGTAAGGCCGCGATGGCAATTACCTTCCGGTGTTCCTTTCTGGCAGGGTCGAAGTAAAAGCATAGCAGAATCCCTCACTCCTGAAGCTGGTCTCTCAGCTTGCCTGCCTCGGGTTTCAACTCAGGTTCCAGCAAAGAGCACCTCTTCAAAATGGAAGAATAGGTAAGAGTTTCTCCCAGTAGTTCGTCTCCAAATCGTCAATGACATAGAACCCCGGGGTTTACGAAATTCCACGTTGTGAAACAGCGGCGCAGATTTGCCTGCTCGCTGGCGCTTCAGCCATTTATGCTCTGATCCTCGCCCCTACTGGACCCCAAAAACCCCGCTCTGCTTCTTAAGGCCCCTTTTTGTAGGCACTAAGTCTAATCTCGGGCGGCCGTGAAGAAGAAGTTGCTGCGACCGAGCTCACGTCAAACAGCTTGCAGCCGTTTAGGGCTTTAGGGGTTTAGGGTTTTAGGGGTTTAGGGTTTAGGGTTTAGGGTTGAAGTGGGCCTGTCAATGGGTTTTGGGATCAAGCTACAGGCTCATGAGCGATACAAAAGCCTGAAAAGCTACACTTCAAGCGTACACTTTTGGAGGCAGAAGTCAACTTGCCAAGGAGTGGTTTACGGACTTGTCGATGCTCGTCGATGGGCCGCTCAGCGAAGAATTGCGGGTTTGATCATTGGATGTCAGATTGCTTTAGCGTCCCATGTTCTGGGGATTTGGGGGGAGGGGGGGGGGGGTTTGGATTGGGACATTCTGAAAGCTTCCAGCCCGAGGAGCTCAGTGCAGTAGCCACATGAGTGATCCAGCTTTGGAAGCTTCCAATCAAGGTGGAGTCTCGGCTCGGCTTCAAAAGCATATAAGTATGACCCGGAATACGGAATCTGAGTCTTCATACTTCTATCGCCATCATATCGTTCTCCCACGGCCAACGCAATTCTACGACCTACGGCGCAAGCTTACCTGAATCAAAGACGAGCTGCGGTGCCAGGAAGAGCTATGCCGCTAAAGTTCTTCGCTGGGAGTCCCCCAAGCATCCGCGACTGCACGCAGAGGGTTCGTCCGGTTGTGCCTCGGGGTTCAGAGTGGGAGACGGAACCTCCAAGGTTCTAAGTTGCTGTTCAGGCTTCCAGATCGTAGGATTGGGAGCTCATGGAATTTTTGGATAGAAGGTGAACAGCTTGAGTCTTCGTGATGTCGCTTCTGCAGCTTGCATGGTGCTGACTGTCCCTTGACTATGATTGCCTGTCTGTTTTTCATTGCGATTGCCCTCCACCCAAAAGCACCCGTGTTTGATGATGATCTTCGGGTTCGGCGCAGCCCTCGAAGAAGCTGGGAAGCTCCAAGAGATTGCCAGACTACTTACTGTCACCGACTGGAGAGGGCCGGTTGTGCCATTGAATTAGGGGCCACCTAGGGCCACTTCGGTCGGCATCCCGCCTGACCCACAACAGCCTAACCTCAGCTTCCTACAGGCTTTGTTCAACATTTAGGCCCTGTTAACTGAGAACAGCCCTAAACCCTAAACCCTAAGCCCAGCTTCCTACATTTAGGCCCTGTGTAAGGTTAGTTGAGAACGGCCCAAGAAGAATCCAAAGCCGCGGCTGCACCCCGACCGAGGAAGGAGAAAGGCGTCAAGAAGGCTCCCGGGGAGCTTGCTAGGTTTTAGGGTCTACTTGGAGGTTCATGGGTGTTATATGTCCCTTAATATGGGTTATAACTATAGTTACCCTACTTATAACCCCACTTATAACTACCCATGAACCTCCAAGTAAGGTTTATTGGGCATTTTAGTGTGCATCCTTCGGCTCAGGGCTTTGGTTAGTAGGGTGTATGAGATGCTAGGATTCAGTGTTCTTTGGGGCTGGGGATTCGGGGCTTTGGGTGCCTGACCTGGGGTCCTGGGCTTATGAATTAGGGCTTGGGGGTTCAGGGCTTAGTGTTTAGGGATATTTAAGGAATTTAGGACTTAGGATGTTTCGGATTTAAAATTTCTGGGCACAGGCCTCGTTGCAGCAATTGATGGAACCCTCCGTTTTGAGCTGCCGTGTTGAGCTTTAAAAATTTCCTGGACCGAAGCCCCCCAAAAGGCACCCCTAGATCCATTTACTGCTAAGTTTCCGCCCGGGGTCACGGAGCCATCAGAGCCACGAGCGCCAAGCCGTCTTAGGGTTTAGGGTTTAGCGATCTGTCGCTTGGAGGTTTGCTGGTTGATGTGGATATCAGATCGCTGTCGGCTTCGTGCCAAAGTCGTCGGGCATGGGAACTTTATTCTTCAAAAGGAGACGGTAAACCTAAGCTCTGACAACGCGCTTGAAGCGCTGCAGGGTGTCTGTGACAGTGCTGGCATCTGAAAGCCCCATGTCTCAGTGGAACCTCTGCAGCTTATGCTGTGGGTCTGTCTGTAGGTGATTGCTATACAGTAAGCTGTACTTGGAGGTTCATGGGTAGTTATAAGTGGGGTTGTAAGTCCCCTAATTATGGCTGATGACTATAGTTACCCTACTTATAACCCCACTTATCAATACCCCATGAACCTCCAAGTAGAGAGTGCGTGCATCTTGCAGGTCTGGTACTTCGTCCGACATGAGCTCTTCTTGGAGAGAATGCAGGACTTCCTATGTGATCTTCCGGGGGAAGGTTCGACCTGCTGTGGGCGCTTGATCAGTCTTTTTGTTCTTTTTGGATTTAGGGTTTAGGGTCTAGGGTTTTGGGGCCTTTCATGTCAGCCCTACTACGATATATACCCCAAAAAATGCCTCTTTTAATTGTGAAGGCCCCGAGTTTCAGATTGTGAAGAGAGTAGCCAAGCCGGAGCTAGCTCTGAAGCAACCGTAACCTTAAGAACTCTCGGATTCTTACTTGGAGATTCATGGGTAGTTATAAGTGGGGTTCTAAGTCCCCCTAATATGGCTTATAACTATAGTTACCCTACTT